GAACCACGCTCTCACAGAATACTCGCGTAAAATAGCAGCTTAAAACTGCTGTATTTCGTATGGTGAGTGTAGAGAACCGGATACCCTTTTTACTGGAAAAGAGGCATTCCATCTTAGTCCTCACGGGTGACAACGCATCTGCATTTTGATTCGCAAGCGAGGATAAATGTATGGGCGGATGGGCTGGACCTCCGATTAATGAATCAGGGGTCCGTAACATGTGTACGGTGGCAGGGAGAGTCCATCTTACGTGAGCAACTTCTTCTGCAATGCAAATGCTGTCGGGCTGGCGAGTGGCGGAGGAAGTGGTCACTTTGTCTGACCACCGCCACATCGTATTCGATGTCGCACTTCGACAGCCCACCGCGGCGTTGGTGTCTCAAGCGGCTCGACCGAGATAAGCTCGAAGCCGCCGCCATCGTCGCGTGCTGGCCAAGAAACGCCGAAGAGTTTCAGTCCAATCCTGAAGTGGAAGCGAACTAGTTTCGGAGTACGATGGCGCAAATTTGCGACCTGTCGATGCCCACAACCAGTCGCCCCAAGCGCAAAGCAGTGTACTGGTGGTCAGCAGAAATCGCACGGCTCCGTGCAATCTGCTTACGGTGTCGGCGCCAGTACACTAGAGCCCGAAGGAGAAGACGGCGAGCTCCGCCTGAGGAGATAGCCAGACTCTACGGGGCATACCGAATGGCTACAAAGGCGTTGCAAATTGCCATTAGCAACGCCAGGTCTCGGTCCTGGAAAGAGCTTCTGGAGGGACTCAACAAAGATCCCTGAGGGCGCCCATACAGGATGGTGCTGGGTAAGCTCCGGCCCTGCTCGCCCCCTTTGACGGAGACTCTCGATCCGGATTTTCTGGAAAGGGTAATCAGCACACTCTTTCCAGAGGACCGGTCAAGTCCCGAAGGTCACCCGCCGTCTTCATGGGAGTGGCAAGATGAGATGGGGGTGACTATCGAGGAGCTGGACCGAGCCGTTAGCCGCTTAAAAGTCCGGAACACAGCACCGGGGCCCGATGGTATCCCGGGCCGGGCCCTAGTGCTGAGTCTGGCTGCCCTGGATAACAAGCTCAGGCAGCTGTTTACCAGCTGTCTGCGGTGTGCCAAGTTCCCCACAGTCTGGAAAGAGGCAAGGCTGGTCCTCTTGAAGAAGGAGGGCAGGGCCGCAGATTCTCCTTCTGCGTACTGCCCCATATGCCTGCTGGACGAGATTGGCAAATTGTTCGAGAGGATAGTTGCCACTCGGCTCAGCGGGCATCTGTTACGCGTCGGTCCCGATTTGGCTGACAGCCAGTTTGGGTTCCGACGTGAGTGTTCCATAGCAGATGCGATTATGCCCGTCCGCTTCCTGTCGGAACAAACAGTATCACAGGGTGGCGTGGCGTTGGCGATAAGTATTGATATCGTCAACGCCTTTAACTCTCTACCCTGGGACGTAATCAAGAGGGCACTGGCACATCATCAAGTGCCCCCCTGCCTGCAAGGTATTATTGGGGACTACTTGCGCGACAGGTACATTTTGTACATGGGGAAAGATGGTAGAAAGATTCCGAGGGAGATCAGAAGTGGGGTTCCACAGGGCTCGGTGCTGTGTCCATTACTGTGGAACCTCGCGTACGATGCGGTTCTGCGAGTCGACCTTCCCGCTGGCGTAAATATCGTGTGCTATGCCGACGGCACCTTGGTGATTGCCAGCGGGATAACTTTCGAAAGGGCCAAGGAGCTCGCTGAACTTGGGGTGGAAGTCGTCGTCGCCAAAATCCACGAGTTGGGTTTAGAAATAGCGCCTCAAAGGACCGAGGCCCTATGGTTCCATAAATTACCACGGGGCAGGGAACCACCCGACTAGTGCGTCCGCGTGGGTGGGTCTGAAGTCAGAGTGGGGAGGTACATGAAGTACCTAGGCCTCCATCTTGACAGTCACTGGGGCTTCGAAGAACATTTCGAACGCCTAGTCCCCCGGATCGAAAGGGTGGCGGGTGCAATGCATAGCCTGCTGCCCAATCTAGGGGGACCGACGGAGGAAGTACGTCGCCTCTGTACGGGAGTTATACGGTCCGTAGCTCTATATGGAGCGCCTGTATGGGCAAAAAGGCTGGCCATCCGACGATGTAGAACTAAAATTTACAGTGTCCAGCGGAGGATGGCCATACGGATCGTACGAGGATACCACACTATATCCTTTGAGGCGGCGACAATCCTGGCTCGCTTTCGACCACTATATATACTGGCGGAGATGGACGCGAGGGTGTACGACCGAATCTGTGCCCTCCGCCAGAGCGGTGGTAGTGAGCCAGAAGAGGCGCTCGAATCAATTAAACGGCAGGAACGACAAAACGCCCTGGCGACATGGCACACTCGACTCGAGGAGTGCTATGAACCCAAACGCGTTATTGGAGCAATCATGCCGGTCTTCGAAGCCTAGATGCAGCGACGATCAGGAAGACTCACCTACAGACTTACACAGATAATTACCGGGCATGGATGCTTCGTTGATTATCTGTGTAAGATCGGACGCGAGGCGACGGCGAACTGCTTCCACTGTGGTGGACGGGACCAGGACTCCGTTTCCCATACGCTCGCAGTATGTCCAGCGTGGGATCGGGAGCGGACAATTCTGGTGAACCGCATTGAACGGAACCTCTTTAAATTGCAGTTGGGTTATTATTATTAATTCAATACATTTCAAAAATATAAAAACATGTTTAGTTTCGTTTATTATATTTTATTTTAATTTCCGTATCATCAAATAGTTCTTGATAATTATCTTACATATATTATATATTATGTAGTAATTTATACAAATTAAATCATTAATATTTTTTTAAAGTAAAATCAATTAATTTTTATTTAGTGACATTCAATCTACTCATCTTTTTTAATTAGATCCAATTGAAAATTGAAAAAAGAACTAACGAACTAAATGAGCGAACTAGTTCACTATAGGACTACGAACTAAATCGAGCGCTCCCAATGGCGACCGACTATGCCCAAGACTAGAATGAACGACAAGACAAATGACACACAAAATGGGGACCGGACGCAGGGTGCGTTCTGAAAGTCAGAGCGCCCCCTCAAGTCCCAATAGTATTAAATTATTATTCTTCCCAACAATATTTTTTCTGTTTATTTCAATTATATAATATTCGTCAACAAGTTGTCAACGCAATGTCAATCAAGAAAGGTTAAGTTAATTTTAGTCATAATCATCAAGTCATCGTATACTAACTTACTGACTGAGCGCATCACTATTAGAATGAACCAGGCAAGTGGCAACATTATAGTCTTGGGCATAGTCGGTCGCCATTGGGAGCGCTCAATTTAGTTCGTAGTCCTATAGCGAACTAGATCGCTCATTTAATTCATTAGTTCTTTTTTTAATTTTTCAATAGATCTAAGTAAAAAGATGAATGTCAGTAAATACATATTAATGATTTAATTAGTATGTAATATACTACATAATATATAATATATGTAAGATACTTATCAAGAACTATTTGATGATATGGATATTAAAATAAAATATAATAAACGAAACTAAACATGTTTTTATATTTTAATATTTTTCAAGTGTGTTGAAATAATGAAAATAACACAACTGCAATTTATAGATTACGTGTCGCTAATTAATGTAACATAGTAACTCAGTGTAACCATGATATAACAAGCCTCAATATAAGGAATTCCTCGATTTAACGAATTTTTCGGAATCCCCTAGAACTGCCTGTAAGAGCCAATGCAAAATATAGCTCTACATTACGAATAGATTTTATGAAACACATCTTTATAAAGAATTTTTAATAACTGCAGAATATATATAGAAGCTATTATTTACCTCTATTTGACAAATTTTTTCAACTTGAAATCTTGACATAACATATCCTATCAATTATTCCCACTTAATTCCACAACAAATCATGCCTTGACAGGTTCAGACACGTACACGACAGGCAGATGACTATTTACGTAATGTTGAGATTAATAAACAAGTTTTCTTACCTTGTTAAAACGAATCGTAGTTCCACCTAACCTCTATATAACGAACCTCATTATAACGAATTACTTGGTATAATAAGAAATACTTTCTAATTCCATTCAATTTCGTTATATTGAGGTTGCACTGTATTCGAGTATTTATTAAAATTAGTAGAAATACAAAAGTTTTTTTTTTATATAGAATTAGGGTGACAAACGAGCACACAGTCCACCTGATGGTAAGTGGTTGCTGTGGCCCATAGACATCTGCAACTATCCTCGTTTGTGAATTAAAATACAGATGCGTTGTCAGCCTTGAGGGCTAAGATAGAATGCCTCTTTTCCAGTAAAATGGGTCTCCGGTTCTCTACACTCACCATACGAAACACAGCAGCATTAAGCTGCTATTTTACGCTGGTATTCTGTGAGAGCGTGGTCCTTCCCCGGTCGAGCCGACCCATTCGTGCTACAACTATACTATTAATATAGCTGCAGCATGGCTCTACCACTTAAAAAAATTTACAGTGTCCAGCGGATTTATTTTGAATAAATTTACCGTAAAATCGATTTGGGAACTATACGGTATTTATGTACTGTTTACTATCACTTTCATATTAATATTGTGAGCCAGAAATATTTGTTATTTGTTGTGAATTGTGCACTAATAAAACTTTTACTATAGACTATAAATTATATACTTTAATAAGAAAATCTGGTAGGAACGGTAAGAGGAAAAAATAAATCAGTCGGTTAGCCATGCAGCGCCACTCCATAATAGAGCGGACGCCAGAAAAATAAATATTTAAAGAACTAAGAGCGAGATTGTCGACGAACTAGTCCGCATAGTTCACCTAAAAGATCGCTCTTCCCACCAAGGTCGTTCGCGAACTACCCAAGACTACAACATTATTTCACAGTGACATTAGCATCTGTCAGGCAGCTTCGTTTAATTAAAAATACGTTTTATATTGTATTCTAGTTATGTAGTGTAGTCTTTGTCTTTGTCTAAGTGATAACCGCGTAAACATGAAGAAAATTTGTTTTTATCTTTTAGTGTACTATTTACATTTCTGCCGTTGTATGTCTCAAATTGGGCCTGATCCATGGGATTATGAATCGAATAAATTGTCCGACAAATTACCAGACGATACTGTAGTGCCACCAGACCTACGAGCAATACCAAAACATATTTTGAATTCAGAAAACAAGTCTGGAATGAGCGAATGGTTTTATAGAAGAATATTAGCTATTGTACTTAAAGCTGGTCAAATAAAGGTTTAATTTTTATGCATAACAATACTATTTTGAATGAATTAGTGTGTCTAAGTTAATGTACTTGTTTAAAATCAATCTTAGGCTTATCCTAGATGTTTCTAGAATTATATCAGTAACACATCTAAAATGTGGTAGAACCTTGCTGCAGCTTGTTATAGCTCCAGCACTTACATCAATGGCTCGGATCAATGTGGGAAGGACTAACCTCGCACAGAATATTACTGAGAAATAGCAGCTTAATGCTTCTGTATGTGTATGGCAAATAACAAGAACAAGAGACCCTTTTTACTGATAACAAGGCATTCTCTCTTAGCCCTCAGGAATGTCCATACATCTTCATTTTAATTCCTTATTGAAGATAGATGTATGTGTCAATGAGCAAGAGCGTCCACTTACTATTAGGAGGATTGCAAGATCATTTTTCATCCTTTTATAAAATATTCAATCCAGGCCTAATTAATATGTAACAATCAGCCTTCTTCACAATTTATGAATGTGGGTATGACTATATTAATAATTTACTTTGACCCAATACCCAGTAATATTTTTTCCTAGGATATATTTCTTATTTAGTTTTAACTTGTTACATGTACCTATTAAGCTTGCTTTTCACTATGGGATATAATGTAATTTATACATTTCGAGATATAAATTAATATCGCTCAACTTACTTTTAAATGGAACCGTTTACACTGAGATGTAATATATATTACATCACATACTGTAAATATTTTTTCGATCGACAGAGGGATATTTTCATATTATATTTCGCCCCCTGTACCCCGTACACCATTCCGCCCCGCTGCTTCATCCACTAGTTGGTGTCTGTCATGTCATTACCTGGCTGAACTTGTGCGTAGTGCATATACTCATTTGTATTCATAGCTTTTCTTTATACAATTCATTAAAAAGTCTAAATTCAATATTCCCTAAAATTCCCATCTAAAATTTATATGATTTGATATCCAGTATCAATGTTCCCTGTTTTTACTTAAAAGTAACACACATAAATCGAATTCTGTATCATCTTCCTCTGATGAACTGTCGAGGCTATCTAGTAATACAATATCTATTTTATTTAAAAGACAATTTTGTTTGTAAACGACGTGCGGTGTGATCCAGTGACGAATGCACACCGCTGGTTAAAAGATTATATCTCACAGTGTGAAAGCCAGTCGTGGGATATAATTTATATCTCGGGATATATTGTATATTATATCCCATAGTGAAAAGCGAGCTTTAGATCCTCACTTATTAAATTGCCATATTTTAATATAGACTAGTGTAGTGTTTCAAATCTTACAGTCAAATTTGAATTCCAAAATTAAATTAATGCCATGTTCAAGTTAAGACTGTTAAACAAATGTTTGTTTTTTATTTGATATTCTTTAGATAAATTAACTAATTATTATCTATTTCATTGTTTTTATAAATATTATAAATATTTTTAGTGTTTGTCTCTGTTCCCAGAATTTCTTTTGCATTGCATAGTTCAATACATGAAATAACTACCTATAATTTAATTTTCATACAATATCACATTTTTTTTTATACCGTTACCATTACAGCCTATTAAAGTCCATTGTTGGACATAAGCCTCCCCCATAGTTTGCCTCATAGGGGTAATATTTACCATGTATTATATATTATTACCTGGTAATTAGGTTGGCAACTGCAGTTTTTTATTCTTAGTTGTTATTAGGAAGATGCTGCTGCCCATCTTGTGATTTGTTTTTCTCTGTCACCTCTTATGACACCCGCGGGATGATATGGGGTAGTGGATATTTTTATGTCACTACAAATGATTTTTTTTGTCACTACAAATGATTTTTTTATATAAAAACAGTAATCTTTGATAGTTATAAAATTATTTATTTATCATAAGTTTATCAACATTCACCTTGATGATAAACTGACATTGCTAATGTAATGTATAATTATTATTTCTGAGACTTTAGTTTTTTTATTTCAATTAAAAAGTATAAAATAAATACTGTATACTCAAGAAACTCTGGCTTATTAAGTTTTTCTGCTTATAGAAAAATGATGATGATTCAATTGATGTCTCATTACAAATGAAATTTGATCAGGAACGTTGGATGTTATTGAATGATTATATAACATCAAACAAACAATTTACTGAGGATATGTTTCGACGTTCTGTAGGATACATTGAGGACTCAATATATAAACCCAGTATAACAGAAAAAATTGTTATGGCATGGGATGAATATATTCATTTTTATTTAGTACAATATAAGGTAAGTGTATGTTTTATATTGGAATAAAACTTCTTTTAAAGTATGTGAATAAATATTGGTATGGGAATGACTCACATCACAGGCTAGTATCGGCAAAAAGTTCTTCAAATGTTTGAGAAACTGTAAATGATAAATGATAAATGAAATACCATTAAATCATTAAGGCTTACATATTAATGCATTGATGATTTTTTATATTCTTTACTTTAACCTTGTCAGTTGTTTTTGAGGAACTATGAGATATGCAAAACCTTATAAAAAGGCCCCGCAGTCCCCAGCGGCCCCATTATTCCTGGCTATGGTGGCGATGGCATGATAATGGCGGTGCAGGCGTTGCCAAGAAACTCCGGCGGTTTGGTTGCCACCTAAGACGACGCGACCTGGCAGCATTCAATGCACGCACCCTGAGGACTGACGAGATTCTGGAGCTCGGAGAAGAGATAAACAAGTTGTGCTGGGATATTATAGGATTTTCTGAAGTTCAAGGTGAGGGAGAGGACACAGTAATCCTACACTGGGAGGACAACCATCTGTCCCAAGGAGGTGTCGGATTTATTATGCACAAGTCTCTCATTAAAACGTTGTAAAGATTAGGAGTGTGTTGACAAGGGTTGCATACCTTGTACTCAGAATCACCAAACTGTATTCCTTGAAGATTATACAGTTTTACGCACCAACCTCAGCACATACCGATGAGAAGGTGGAGGAAATGTATGAGGATATCTAAAGAGCCATGCGTCCCTCCCAAACCCACTATACGGTGTTAATGGGAGACTTAAATGCAAACTAGACACAAGAGGAAACGATGATCTGAAGGTAGGAAAATACGGGATAGGGCCACGGAACCTAACAGGCCAGCAGCTGACCAACTTCAGAAAGTGTCCCCCTCAGAAAGTGAACCTGGTCAAGTCCCAACGATTCGACAATAAATGAGACTGACTGCATCATGACGACCAAACGGCAACTGTTCAATTATGTCTTAGTGATCGCGAGGGTGAAAACTGCTAGCGATCACCAAATGGTAAGAGGCGCATTGAACCTTAATGTTAAGTTGGAGAAGTCACGTTTAATGAAGTCAACATTCCGTACCCCTCGTGCTGTAATCTAAAACCTCGTAAACTTTCAGCTTCTTTTAGTAACTACCGCCGCCCATGAACAACTGCAACACCAGGGGAATTGCAAGTGCGTTGCCGGCCTTTTGTAAGCTCTTTTCTTGAAGGTCCCTAAGTCGTAACGGTTCGGAAAAATCGCCGGTGGTAAACAATTCCACAGAGAGGTTCTACAAGGAAGGAAACTCCCAATAAAACGCACAGTGGTGGACCTCCAAGCATCCTGATGTGGATGATATCGTGAGTTTTGACGCAATGTGCGTTCGTGAAATTTGGCGGCTGAAATTAATCCGAACAATTCCTCAGAGCACTTTCCGTGGTAGAAGCGATAGAAAATGCCTAGGAATGTAACACCCTTTCGCAGCACGAGTGAATCGAGGCGATTAGAAAGAACTCAGTTGCTGACGATTCGAGCTACTGTGCGGATCGTGCATGCGGTCAAGTGAAAGGAGCTGACACTGATGTGGTCCGGCGAAGAGATGAGAACAGTTTTACACGTGAGGCCGAATTTGCGTCTTGTAAAGTTGCAAGCGGTATGCCGGCATGAAATACTGTCCGCACTGCTAAGTACGCCAAGCTTTGTAGAGGGCAATTTGGACTTCCTGTCCAAGTGACCACGAAACTGTACATTATTCGATATGTCGACGCCGAGGTTCCGATGATAGCTGAGGTAGCAAGAGGAGTGCCTTGAAACTAAGGAGATATAGGACAAAGGGGTTCTTTTTAGCGGTTAAAACTTGTGTCTTTTGGGGATTGAACTGCACTAGGTTTAGTCGCCCACAATCCGATACTTTGTACAACAAAGTCTCGACTTCAGACACAAGTGTTTTCCGGTACTCGGTGACGTTTTCCCGAGAAATATTGGCACGGCCGGTGTATAGAGCATCACCAGTGCTGTCGTCCGCATAGCAATTAATGTTATCGGTTTGCAACATATCATTGATATACAGAAGAAACGGCATTGGTGAGAGCACGCATCCTAGTGGAACACCAGCGTTAATAGGCTTGTAATCACAGCATGCACCGTCTACTACGATCTTGGTGCTCCGATCAGCAAGGAAACTGGTGTTCCGATTGCACAATTTCTCGGGAAAGCCATAGGAAGGGAGCTTCGAAAGAAGGGCTTTGTGCCAGACCCGGTCGAAGGTCTTCGCTATATCCAAACTAACGGCCAATGCCTCCCCTTTGGATTCTACTGCCTTCGCCCATCTATGAGTCAGATAGACCAAAAGATCACCTGCTCATTTCCCGGTTTTATGTTATCTGACAAGTACAGTAATGCACGTAAGGAGTCATTATCCTTTAAACTATATTCAGCAGCGTACTTAAAAGTCTCCGAGGTGTCCGTCACGGCATTCAAGAAAAGACCTTTACGTGTTAGGGAAGAAAAACACTACATAAAAAACATTTTTACTTACCTAACTCACTAGCTATGTTCCAGTCAGTCCAACAGTACACCCTAGTAGTAGCTCCTTTCTCTTGTCCACAGTAAATGGAGAGTGGCCCGAATTTTAGATGAATAAGTTCTTTCCGATCGGCTTAATCCGCTGGCCTTTCGAAGAGATGTTGACGTGTCGTGCGTATATTGAAGTACCTATGACTTTCTTGAAAACTTTGTCTTTATGTTTAGGATAATTTAAGCAAAAATATCTTAAAAAGCCACATTAAAAATATCGATCGAGTTGATCGATCAACTCGAATTACAAAACCGTTTTCAGTGCCTAAAAGATTGCAATACAGTGATTGATATGAATTACAAGTTTGTGGAAACTGTCCATGCAGTCGGAGCTAAGTTCTGCAAGACCTGCCGCAAAAGAACACAAAACTCTCCGATCTCATTCTTAATCTCATGGCTGTTAGACGGGAATTGAAGCTGCAGTCTTCAGCAGATTTGACAGCATACAGGCAACTGAACAGGCAGATCTTCAAATGCATGCATTTTTTACGTGGTACAGCCATGCTGCAGCTATATTAATAGTATAGTTGTAGCACGAATGGGTTGGCTCTACGGGGAAAAACTACGCTGTCACAGAATACCAGCGTAAAATAGCAGCTTAATGCTGCTGTGTTTCGTATGGTGAGTGTAGATAACCGGAGACCCATTTTACTGGAAAATACGTTCTTAGTCCTCACGGCTGACAACGCATCTGCGTTTTAATTCAAATATGAAAGACAGATGTAGATGTCTATGGGCCATAGCAACCACTTACCATCAGGTGGACTGTGCGGTCGTTTGTCACCCTTACTCTATAAAAAAGAAAACAATACAGCTCGTATTCATGAAGCGATCGAGCGGAACCAGGGCTCCAAAGTCTTTGCTAGAGATCTGTCTGCCAGAAAGAGCTAATTGTCGAAGCTGAAGACCGAGTGTGGCAGCGTCGTTTTCGGGATAACTGAGATTTTGTTCTACGAGGAGCTGTACACGTCGTCGTTGTTACCAAGCAAGCAAGCAAGTATGAGTAACGATCCAAGAGCAAGTGTTATCCGACACTATTCCAATGACATTGAGGCATTCCATCTTAGTCCCCACGGGTGACAACACATCTGCATTTTGATTCGCAAACGAGGATAAATGTAGATGTCTATGGGCCACAGCAACCACTTACCATTAGGTGGACTGTGTGCCCGTTTGTCACCCTATCCTATAAAAAAAGACATCCCGGACGTTAGTCTGAGTTAGATTAGAATCACTTCCCAGCACCTTAAAACGGCAAGACCCCGGGCGTCGATGGAATTACAGCGGAGCTTCTGATAGCGAGTAGAAAACTAGTACTAGAAGTCCTTTAGAAGTTCTTTTCCCTCCGCCATGATGGCACTACTACGGAGGCGTGGCGCAGAGACCGACTTGTTCGGGAGGCTTGAAGTCGTCGAGTCTGCGTGCGAAACGATTCATAATGACTCTCGGACAGCACGTAGACACGGTTCAGAAGGAAAATCGGTCTTTAGTTCTTCAACAGAGCTTTGTCGCCTTCTAGCCTACCGAATAAGCCGGTTACCGAAAAGGGTTTAGTATCATAGGCCACATAAATACCCTTCGGCAAATTGTACATAAGACCGAAGAGTACAATCTGCCACTTTGCCTTGCATATGTAAACTATGAGAAAGCCTTTAATTCCGTCAAAACTTTGGCGGTGCTACAGTCCCTTTAGCGGTGCCAAGTTGACTATTCGTATATCGAAGTGCTGAAGCATTTGTACAGTAGAGCTACGATGAGCTGTGATGGTATCATCATTATTATTACAGCCAAGTCACATCTCAAGTCCACTATTAAACATAGGCCTCCTCCAAGGAATATCACAAACCACAGGCCTGAGGTGGTACGAGCCTGGCTCTTACCGAACACTATAAAATTCCATTCTACTTTGTGTGACGGCGACTATGAAAAAGACATATACTATGTACATGGGTACGAGAATATGATGGCAATTAAAAGTTTTGTGTTTTCTTTTAAATTTTTGAGGGTATATCTATGTTAACTTGGGTTTAATAAAGTAATTATTATGATTTTACGAACACCGATTTCTACTAATGATTTTAACTTAACATCAAAAGTGCATGTACTAGGATAGTATATACAATAAATTACCATAAGACATCAGCATTCCTTGAAATTATTCAACGTCCTCCAGACCGAATTATCGATCACGGCGGGCAGTCTCAACGGAGACTAGCCTTTTGGAAACGACATTGCAGTTATATTGCAAGAGTGTGTGCGCTGGCTCGTGTGTAATCTCTATTACCTTACTCTGTGCCGATTTGACGGCAATTCGGCACGATTGGATAAAGACCAAGCACAGGACCAACGGCTTTACGTGCTTTCTATGACACGTAGGTGAAACATCGCCAACTTCCTTACCCCCGGTTTTTACTAATGATTTCATGACCTAAATTGAACGACTGGATTTGTCCTGATCCGCGATTCGAACTTGGGACCACATGTTCAGCAGTTGCACTTATAACCACTAGACCAACGAGGCAGTTAGGGTATCATCACCTTATGCAATGTTACGCTCTTTTTATAGGTATACTAGCGATCCACCCCGGCTTTGCTCGGGTGATTCCTGTTTCTCAACAACAACGCTACCTATTGGATCCAATTGTGAATCTAAACCATTCTCTAGTCAACTCAATAACACACAAAATTGTCGTTTTAAATTAAAATACCGAAAAAAATATTATATATGAATACACAGGTGTATCGAAGAGAAGAAAAAGCTATACGTATTATATGGATCCAAGTGGATGGAGACGTTTTCAACTATTTTAGTTTTGTTCTCATGGAGTACGGATTTTATCAATCACAATCGTTCCGTTGAGTGAGGGCTTTATACGAGCACTCACCCACGAGACTACATGCAGTGATGGTTCCTCTTACATTGCTACCATACAGTCGAACAAAAAACGAGAATCTGTGGTTTTTCTCTTTTTAATCAATTATAAATTATTTCATAAATTTCTATTTTTTTGCAGACACAAATCACATGGATACTTACTGTTTTAGCAATAAAAATCGGATTAATTTGGCTTTGGAGTCATATGTCACATAAACACATAATAATTATCTCTGTTCTACTATTATACTTATATGAAGTATTTATTTCTTATAAGGTAAGTCAAGGTAACTTGTATACAATCTTACACACTTACATAGCCCTTCAGTAATTTTATTAAACTGAACCCAAGATGCAAGTCGTATGGCTGAAAGACGCATAATTCATACATATTTACACTGATTATATTATTGTGCTCGTTTTCTACTCGTTATCTTGAGGGCCATGAGAGGCCTCCCCAAGGAATGCCACAAAGCACGGTCCTGGCCACCTACATCCGTCGACATCCTGCATGTCTTACCAGGCCGTCACTCCATCTAGTGGCGGGCCGCCCTACACTTCGGCTACAAGTACGAGGCTGCCACTCGAGAACCTTGCTTCCCCATCGGTTGTCGCCTCTTCGAGCTATATGTTCGACCCTTTGCCACTTCAGCTTAATACTCAGTTTTGCGGAAAATTACATTTAACAACGCTCAAGTAATTGAAAATTCAATTTTAATTATTTATTTTATTTAACATCAACGTTATCGCCCGTCATTTGCTTACCGCAGAATGTAGGCTTTCCCTCAAATATTGCTACTGAGCGTCTTGTACATTGCTATTTAAATATATGTAATTCGTTAAAAAATATTATACTAATTTTGATTTTGTAATGAATTACTTCAAATTCCTGTCACATACCACATGGCTTGCCATCCCCTATTATAATAATTATGTAACATGTTAACATGGATAGTGACAGAAAACATGATTTAAGTAAAATCACAGAATAAATAATAGTATAAGAACAGAAGGTTCACTCTCTGATAGCAAACTTGCGAGTTTAAACCTAGTTACAAAGCGCTAATGTTCATAATACTTTGCGCGCCTCGGACACAACCTTCGTCAAATTAGCCTACCGATCATTACCGGTATTAAATCAAAATGCACCTTACGTCCGCGTGCGAAACTCTGTATCGCTTAGCCCGTTTGTTTTTGATTGTGTGTTACATCAGAACTTTTTCCTAGGTGAACCGATTTTGATGATTCTTTTTTTATTTGAAAGCTGGTGCTTATAATTTATATATCCCATATAAATTTTTATCAAGATCTTACCAGTAGTTTTGAAGTTATCCTTAATAATGCGTATTAATATTGAAGTCGGTTGTCCAAAATTTTTTATTACATTACTTGTCTCGCTTCCTCTCTTTTTTAAAAACTTAACCTCCACACTAGGATTTTCTCTTGTATCGCGGGGGCAGTTTACATGCATAGATTTCACAAGGACGGACATCCAGACCCAGAATAATTACGTGCGGCTCTTAGCGCTGCCATTCATTTTTTTTATAGGTAGGATAGGGTGACGAACGAGCACACAGTCCACCTGATGGTAAGTAGTTGCTGTGACCCATTAACATCTACATTTATCCTCAATAAAGAATCAAAATGGGTCTCCGGTTCTCTACACTCACCATACGAAACACAGCAATGTCAAGCTGCCATTTTACGCTGGTATTCTGTGAGAGTGTGGTCCTTTCCCGGTCGATTTGGCATTATACGCGAAAAAACCGAAAATTGCGAAGCTGTGGTCGGGTCGCTGATGAAATAATAAAACTGTAACTATGGCGTCAGTAACTGGGTACCTAATTTTCTAGCGGAGACAGGCCCAGTAAAATCAAGAATATACAAAGATTATCTAATTCCGTGCTTACTCGTTAATATAATATTAAATAAAAATAAGTAGAATGATTATATTAAGAATATTTCATCCAACTAAACATAATTAACATAAAGTTTGACTTCTAAGTTTCAATAGGAAACTATAAGAAAACATACCCCTCGCCGCAGTTATATTATGGTTATAACATAATGGGTTGGCTTACCGGGGAAGGACCACGCTCTCACAGGATACCAGTGCGAAGTAGCATAATATTAATGTTGTGATTCGTATGGTGAGTGCCGAGAACTTTTTCATTTCATGTAACAAGAATATTATTGTTACATGAAATGAAAAAAATTTCGGCATAAGCCTCAGGGGTGAAAAAGAATTCTGCATTTCGATTCGTAATCGAGGATAGATGTAGATGTCTGTGGATCACAGCAACCACTTACCATCAGGTGTACTGTGTGCTCGTTTGTCACCATTATACTATAAAAAATAATTTAGCGTATGTTAAGTGTAAGAATCGCATATGCCATAAAGATATCATGGCTTCCGAAATATGGTCATATAGTTGCTTACGCCATACGTTTACCCAGACTGGCGACGGAAAGTGGCGTCAAAGGTGTAAGTGATCAACCAAGCCTGGCGATTAAAGCAAATCCTCTCCACAGCGGGAGAGGCTCTTGTCCAGCAGTGGACTTTTATGACTTGGTGGAAAAGAAGGTGTTTTAAGTAATGTTTTGACAAATACATTTTAGGAAGCTGAAAAACAGGAAGTGGAGAGGTTTCTATCAGCCGTTCATACCTGTAAATGGTATATATGGTCATCAAACTGTGAAGTACCACCTCCCGATCCTCTTATCTTCTTGAAGCATATGAATCCTCTGAAGATTGGAATAAGAATGTTCACCACATTGATATCAGAACCAATATTAACGATAAGTGATTGTATGAAAACAATAACACATGGGATCACTGGTAAGAATAACATCAATTTTTAATCTATATATTAGACTTGTTGCTAATATTCGGCTATATTTATCCTATTCGGTCGAATAGCGAATATCTAGGTATTATTCGGCCGAATACGAAATACTTTAAGAGGTTTTATTGGAGTCAGGTAATTGGTAAACAAAAAAATTTAAATATTTATTTTGTAATTAATTTCAAATGTTTCTATGTATGAGACATTCCATCTTAGTCCTCGGAGGTGTCAACGCATTTGTAATCTTTGTTTGAAGTTCGTTGCAGTTGTCTGTGGGTTGGTAGTCACTTTTTACGTTCTATCACTTCAATTTATAATTTTTTTTTATAGGATAGGGGGCCAACGAGCATGCGGCTCACCTGATGTTAAGTGACTACCGCCGCCCTTGAACAACTGCAACATCAGGGGAATTGCAAATGCTTTGCCGGCCTTTTAAAAATGAGTAGGTTCTTTTCTTGAAGGTCCCTAAGTCGTATCGGTCCGGAAAAATCGCTGGTGGTAATGCGATTCCACAAGGAAGTTGTGCGAGGGAGAAAACTTTTCTAAATTTATAAAAAGTATGAAATAATTCTTTAATTCTTGCGTAATATTTATTTCTGGTACCTTTTTTCAGATGGTCTTTGGTTTCCTCTCGACAAAATAATGTTTGGACTCCTGATAGTAATATTCAACACATTACTGATATTCCTTTTAATAATGATAATGTTCAATTTTATACTTAACATACCTTTTAACCTTAGTTTTTTGGGTTTGATAAGCATTGGATTGAAACAACGCAACAGAACATTTATGAACACGAACGAAAGTCAGCCGTCTGTTAATGAAACTAACGATAGGATAAGTGGGGCGACATTGGATAGACTTCTAGACGTATGTTCACGTGCTCTTTCTACAGCACAAGCATCACAAAACAGAAATAACAGGTTACAACTGCATTCAACAAGAACTACAAATTTACGAAGGTCAGCTAGCACCGGCAGGCTCCCAAATTTCCCACATGAGCCATTACTAAATAACAACAGGCTACCACTGGAAAGTATGCTTGGGAAGAGCAATTTAATAAGACGAGGGAATGGAAGTGGTGACGCGTAAATTGCATTTGTATGCGCGTAATAAGATAAAGTAAGCTACAATATCTTATTTATATAGGTGCTTTATATGTCAGTTTTAGTATAAAATAATTTAATCAATGCATTTCCAATATTTTAAAAATAACATTTTTAAATCACATTTTGTAATGGAAGTGTCTTAGGCTGCCACTAGTGGTCGTTTAATAAGAGGGAATATGCTGCCGCTAAAGCTAAGTTAATAATGTTAAACTGCCGCAAGTGATAAGCTGTTTAACTTTTTTTTCCCTAATGCAATTGCAACCTAACCTTTTCTCCTCTAACGTTTTCGCACACATCCGCAATATGAATAGGAGGTTTTAATTATAACTGGAGAAAAACAGGTTTTTAAAGACTACATATTAGAACGATTGTGTTTAAATCTTAATAACATTCTAGTCACTGTAACAGGAATAGGACAGATGTAACAAACTGACAGTTTTTATCGTAAAATTTTCGAGATATCAGCATGATATTTTGGAACAGGCAACAGAACAGAAATAGTTTTAATCTTGTTTTACACTTCACTTGCCATAGCCAAAACAGCCCCAGTCGTTCCATGGCGGCCTCCCTTTGGAGAGAGTAATTCCTCTCTTTTTTATTAAAGGCGTGCCGGAACACAACCCGCGCCTTAATTCCACCCGAGTCCCTTACGCGGCAGCCATGGGGCCAGGCAAAAATGTAAACTCGTAAGCACAAGACTTTTCAGTCCCTACGGCGGGTCAGCCGGGCTATTCACAATCGTCTCGGAAAGCGAAATCGACTCGGATTCGATAACTTCTCGCACCGAAACCAATAAACGCTATTCACATTTAACGTTCGGATAAAGGTCACTTAGATACATCCCATAACTATTGTATCGTCATTTAGTTACATGCATTTACGAATTTTGTAGATAAATAGGCTTTTGTATTTTTTTAGAGTAACGCCTGAACAAAAACATAATGCAATATTTTGGTGTTAGCCATTGATATCGAATGTAAAAAAATATATAATTTAACTATATAATAAATAACAAAAAAACTGAGATATGTCTCGTTTCACAAAGCAGCATATATATATGCTGCTTTGTGATAGAAAACTTATAGAAACACACCTTTCACAAAAATTCAGCTTTACGATTAAGTGCAAATATTGAAGTAATTATATGAAAATACGTCTTATAGATAATTGTAATTAATTTTTGTTACCTACCTTATAATTAAAAGGGTTTATTTATCTCTTCTAATCATCAATATTCGAAAAGTTTTCGCCAGCCTCAGAGCTCTCGTGAAGTTTCCGATGCAAACTGTCACAATTATCGAAAACAAACGTCAAAGAAGTATGGTCACGCCCCATAGAAAAAAACCCAGACCCGACAGAAACGAGACATATCTCAGTTTTTTTGTTATTTATTATATAGTTAAATTATATATTTTTTATATTCGATATCAATGGCTAACTCAAAAATATTGTATTATGTTTTTGTTCAGGCGTTACTCTAAAAAAATACAAAAGCCTATTTATCTACAAAATTCGTAAATGCATGTAACTAAATGACGATACAATAGTTATGGGATGTATCTAAGTGACCTTTATCCGAACGTTAAATGTGAATAGCGTTTATCGGTTTCGGTGCGAGAAGTTATCGAATCAGAGTCGATTTCGCTTTCCGAGACGATTGTGAATAGCCCGGCTGGTCTCTGTCTTCGCACCTAACCACTATTCTACACTGCTTATTACGTGGTAAATCAACACCGAAAATCGTAATTATAAAATACCTTGTTGCTAATGCAGATTATGTTTTGAAATTTCCTTAGATTACTGAGGAAAGAACTTCAAATGTTCAACAAAGTCCAAAAATAAATTATGTATAGTGTGAACATGTTATTGGTATTTTAATTTATATAACAGGTACGTTATTTACGTTGAATTAACCTAAATGCAACTAGAAGCGTTTGCAACACCAACATTTATGATTGGTTTTCTGTGTAGTTGCGGTGTAAATATATCTACTACCCCACATCGTCCTGTAGTCCATCGTCCATAAGAGGCGACAGAGGGAAACAAATCACGAAATGGCCAGCAGCGTCTTCCTAATAACGACTAAGAAAACTGCAATTGCCAACCGTGGCATCTATAGCAAATATCCCCCTATCGGCAATCTATGGGAGAGACCTATGTTCAGCAGTGCACTTTAACCCTACAGTGCATGATTTTTTTTCGGCTTAAAAAAATATATATTACCTAGAAAATATAATACTATAGCTCGGAAAAATATTTAAAAAAATCGCAACTCCATAGAAACATACTTATGTAAGTTTTTTCGTATGGCCCACATATGGCACATCGTGCAGTATAATGTAAATCCGTAGTAATGTTTTAGGAATAGTTATGAATGCAATAATCTCATAGTAATCAAACTTTATTCATTAAAATTATGTTTTATAACAACTAATTTAACCTTAGGTTAAGGAGCCTTACAATCAAAGTATTTGTACTTATATATAATTATAAAACTAGGAACTTTTTGTGAAAAATAGAATAAAATATAGAACAAAAACAACAATTTCGAAACTATTTGTGGAATGACAAAAAACAGTTCTTGTCCTTGTTGAGACAGAGTGCCTGGTTACATTTCTGGCAAATTACAAAAGATTTCCCCTTACAAGCAGGTAACTTACATCGCTTCCTAATGTTAGACCAAATAGGAAAGTGTTCCATTCCATCGGTCCTGACATCTTTTGGTGGTACATTGAGTTTTGGCTTCCTTTTGATTCTTTCATCAAGCATGTCAGATACAAATGAGGAGGGTCTTCCTCTCTTCTTTATTATTGACGGTCCACACCAACACAATGCTTTGGCCACCTCCAGTCGGAATTCTCGTAACTTCATCATTTTTGTGTTTTCCCTCTGCGTCTCTACTCTTTTATATAAAAGCCAGCTATTTATCAGCATCACATCTAGCAAATGATAGAATATTCTCATGTACCACTTTCTTGTACGCATTTTTATTTTGTGTTTTCCTATGAAAGAGTCAAGGAGATCCTACTCCGCCCATATGCCGATTGTAATGTCCAATAATATTTGGGGCGTTGACTTCTGTGTATTGTTTACGTTTCTTACAGAAACGTTTTACTTTATATTTAGGTTGTTCACCGGCAAAAGAAGATGCGAGAACAACAGATTTGCTGTCTAGCCACAGCACTGAGACTGGTACTGCATCAACAGTAGCCACCCATCCTTCTGAATAGCCGCGCGGCCTTTTAGCGGCCGCCAATTCTTTTTGAGATGACATTTTCAAAGTCATCCCCATACGACCCTTGTTTACGGTGCCTAATGTATGAATGCCTTTTTTAGCCAAGTAATAATTATCGAAAAAGATCTTATAATTTTGATTTCTTGGAACACTGCGACATAGGCGTACAACAATGTTGCTACTCGCTCCTAAATCACATTCGTCGGGCAGCCTCAACTCACGATCATTTTCTGCGCCGGAGTAGATTTCAGTCATAACCTTTATCATCACACAACACCAATAACTTGTATCCCCACTTATGAGGTTTGTTCGGGAGATACTGGCGGAGGAAGTTGCAGGCTTTGGTAGCGCACATTTGCTCATCCACCGAAAGTGTCTCTCGTTTCGGCACAGCTTGACATTTCTTTCTCAATGTTTCCAATAAGGGTCTAATACGGAAAAGTCTGTCGTGTCCTGGCTCTCCTCTAGGTTTGTAATTTATGTTGTCATTGAAATGTATGACACTTCGTAATTTTTCAAAGTTACCGAGTGTCATCGTTTCAATTATGAGTGGTATACCTAATATAGAATTCCACAACATGCGAATGTTTGGCTGTGGCACCAGTCCTAACAAGAGACAGATGCCTAAATATTTTTTGAGTTCCGTCTTTGTAACCAAAACTGGCTTTGAGCAATCCTTCTGTATGCTGTATTTAGTAGATTCTTCAGCAATGTGATCCAACAAATCGTCGTCAAAAAAGTGCAAAAAGTACTGCAAAGGTGTTTCAAATGTAGTATATGGTTGTTCCAACACGTCAACGCCAGAAAATGTGGTATCAGGTGGCTGAAAGTCCATCTTCCGCCATATGTATTCTCTCTTAGGTTTTGGCCTGGCAGGCCTGACAGGCTGTGGGGAAGGTGAAATGATGCGGGGAGTAGGTACTGCTTGAGGTCGTGATGCTACTCGGCTGGATCTAGGATTTACTTGCCTGGAAGTACTAGGTTGTGATGCAACGTTGGCTGTGTTAGAAGAACCGCTTGTTGGCTGAATCACTAACATACTACTGCTTGATCTTGGACTAGGTATGCTCACGTTCTCATCGAATAAATCATCCTGTAGTACTTCAGGGCACGTCTCCACTTCGTTCAACACCAAATCCTGGATTCTGATCAAGTCGTCATCGCTGTCCTCATCAGACAGTTCCAGGTCATCTTCACTACCGGAAGGAATTTCGAGAAACTGTTGAATATCATCAGAATTCAAATTTTTCCTTCGGCTCATCTAGAAACAATACAAATATTTTGAAGACACTTATTGCATCGTGTGCCACATCTGTCACATACAAAAATGTCGTATTTCTATGCACTATTTATTTATGAAATTACAAATAACTAAACAAATAACAAATAGATACATAAACTTACCTCTACAAATTATTTCGTATACAAACTATTCAAATTTATCAGTTTTTTTGTTTTTTTCTTGCGCAACCTGTCGATCACTTTCAAAATACCGTTGGTTTTGAACAAAATGTAAACAAACATTCATTCAGAGACATCTAACCAAAAATTTTAGTACTAAATTTGATTGACCATTCCTTTATAGTTAATTTACTTTTGCTAGATGACGCTACTTATTTCGAGTACGGAAATATAGAGGTTTTTTAGGTATGTGCCACATGTGTCCCACTATGCGCTGTAGGGTTAATAGGCAGTAACGGATTTACTGGAAGAGAGCAAACATCAAATGCGTGACTACACTAGCATACGTATATTTAAAATTGAACCTTATCTGTTTGCGTTATGGTATAAAATATAGTAGCTAATAATTTGCAGCAGGATATTCCTTTTTATTTAACGACCACTGGTGGCAGACTAGACATTTTCAAAATTATAAAATAAAAAAAGTCAAAATATATACACGGTTGTAAATAGGTATTGTATAATAATCGTGTTAATTGTTAATACTTTGAATAGATCATTTTTATTTATGTCGCTTTTAAGATGAGTAACATTTTAGTAATTCTTTGTAAACCAATTGATTTTTTGTAAAGGTTTGCTTAGGGTGAAATAATAATATTTGTCAGCATTCTTTCACAATTTGTTTAAGAAAATTTTATTATTTTGTATGATGTGGGCATCAATTTTTCTTTTCGCATTTATTCAACATTCGCATTATTAGATTTTAATTCCGTACAAATGTATTCTAATGCTTTTGCATACTTAAAAACGTTAGCAAAGTGAACAAACAAGCATAACATAACGTTAATTACGCTACGGGATATGCGTGTATATACATAAATAAATGAGTATGTTATAACGGAACATGTAAACATACCGGCCAGTACAGTCTGCGTGATAGCTTAAATCATTTGCATTAATAACAATAAGGGGGTTAATACACTATTATAATTACGAAGCTTATAGCATGTGATAATGATTTAAGGTAAGCTATTGAATTTATTCAATGTGACCAGAGTCGTCTAACTAAATGTTGATTGATGCTCATTAGTATGATTTCACCTTGAGTGTATTTGTAAATGTTTGGTACTGTAAACCAACTAACTGTGATATTATATTAACTGTATTTATGGAATGTGTTTTATTTTATAAACTGCATTAGGTTAAATAGGTGGCGGTACTGAAAATTTCGGGAATCAAGGAAGTGACACAACATTACTATTTAAAAATGTATTTATTGCTTTTCGAAGTATTCTCCGCGAAATTTGACACCTTTTTCCATACGATGGAACCAACAATTGAAGCAACCATTCCGTTCGGAAGTTGGGGTCTCCAAAATGGTCGTTTTATAGGCGTCCACAGCTTCTTCAGGTGATGAAAATCTCTGTCCACGCAATTTATTCTTTATTTTAGGGAAAGTATAGAAATCATTAGGGCTTAGGTCGGGGCTGTACGATGGATGGTCTAATAATTCTATGTTTTCTTGCTCTAAAAACTCTTTTGTTCTGTGTGCGGTGTGAGAACTCGCATTGTCGTGATGGAGGATGATGCGGCGGTTGCAGTTCTCTTTACGGAGTTCAGAAACGACCTGTGGCAAACAAATGCTAGCATACCATTCTGCATTAACCGTTCTTTGTCCCTCAAGAGGAATAGTCGTAACATGGCCGGTTTTGGAGACAAACGTGGTCACCATTTTTTTTCAACACTCAGTGAACGAACAATTTTTGTTGGCTTTAACTCATTTTCGAACACCCAAACTCGTGACTGGTTTTTTGTTTCGGGTTCGTACGTGTATATCCAGGATTCGTCACCTGATACGATGTTGTATACAGCATTTGAATCTTTCGAGAGTTCTGACGCACCAAGTAACGCGAGCCGCTTTTTGCTCTTCACAGAGCGAATGCGGTATCCGTCGGGAAAACAACTTTTTTACACCTAATTGTTCATGCAAGATTATTTGTATTTGACTCATGCCAATGTCTAAAGTTGCCTGAATTTCGCGGTATGTTACATGTCGATCTGCCTCAATCATCTTACGTACAGCATCAACGTTTTTTTGGGTGACTGCAGTTTTTGGACGACCTTGACGGGGATCATCACTGAGCTTGACACGTCCACGTTGAAATTCAGCAAACCAGCGATAAATTGTGGTTTTGGATGGGGCTTCATCACCAAATGCAGAAATCATCCGGTCAACACACTGTTTTTGTGTTAAACCACTTCGAAAGTCATAATAAATCATCGCTCTTGAATTTTCTCGAGTCAATTCCATTTTCTCAACGACTAAACAAGTTTGATAAAACCTTGTGGCAAGACCGAGAATCTTTTTTTAAATAAATAAATGGTATTCGATTTTTAAAACCAAGAACTTTTCAATTAAAAAGATTTTAATATGACAGGAACAGTGAAAATATTCCATTCCCGATACTTTTAGTGCAGCCTATGTACCATCAAGTTTTAAACATATCTTTAAAACAGCTATTTTATATATTACTCGCCACGCCTTTCCACGGGTACAATTCACTTGTGGCGATGTGCTGTTCACAAAACACCAAATTTTCGACTATTTTTACAAGAAAATTATAATATATGCTTAAATTACACACACACAAACCTTCAAACATTTCTATAGATAGTGCAAACCGCATCGAATTCAATCATAGATTACCTCCTAATAGATTCCGCATACAGGGCCACAAACGCGCGCAACACATACTTGCTGTAGCTAGCATACGAAGCGAAGCTAAGAATCACGACATCAGTATTGACCAAGTTTGTGATCCGTAGGCACGTCCGAGTTCTTGACAATTTAAAAATAGTTTTGTATCCAAAATACATTACAAATGGCTTCCTGTGCAGTGAAATAGTGTGACAAGTCAGCTAAGACATCCAGTTATCAAAAAGATGGCATAAATTTTAATTGGTAAGTAAATTCTATTCTTATCACGTTAACCTATTACAAATGCACCGGAGATCAACTTATACTGGTATATTAATGGTGCAAAGTGATAACAATTAAGCACCCGTTGATGTCTTTTTGAAATGTCCCTTTCACTCGTTACGTAAATTACAATAGTTGTCTTTGTCTAACAACAGCACGTGTATCGATAGTGTTGTGATTTATAAGTCGATATTTGTTTGGTCATCGTTTAATTATTTTTTTCGAAGTCATATTATTTTATAAAAATAGTGACGTATCATTGTGGTACCTATATGTTATAGGTTTCCTAAATGCCCCGAAAGGAAAAAAGATGTGGATCGACGCAAATTGTCGAGGGGACGAATGGTTTCCCACCAAAAATAGTGTACTATGCTCAAAACACTTCACAGAAGACAATCTTCATAATATTATGAAAAATCGTATAAAGCTGTTGGATACTTGCCAGTTTTGGTATGGACTTTTGCATTTTTTTTAAAGATTAGTTCTAACGTAGATTACACAATAATATCATTAAGTGGTTGAGTGAAACATGATATTCTTATATTTAGGTAAATGTTACACGTCGAAATCAAGCTATTTTGAACGGATTTATAAATCATAAAACTTGTAAAAGTTATAATGTGATTATTGTTTTGACTTGGTATTTAGTGTTACATGAACTTCAGTATTATCTTATTATAATTATTAAGTACATCTAAATTTGGAAGACGTGCCGTATGGTGTATTAATTAATAATACTATATCGGTAATGTTTTAAAAGAAACGAATATGTATTTCTGATTTAGATTACTGGGTCACCGCTGAAAGACGCGAAAAACCCGCCAACACCTAAAAATCAGAGTCATTGCTTAGAAACGCCTACAAAACAAAAAAGAAAATTTTCTCCTATACCTGATACGCCATCTGCATTTCATACTCCAGTTAAAAACGTCTTTGTAGAAGAATCATCGAATTAACCAACGTAATGAACAAAAAAGATAAAAAAGTTAAAAAGTTAAGTGATTCCAACAGAAGACTAAAAACACAAATAGTTTCTTTGGAGTCATTATTGGTAGAATTAGAAAACAAAAATTCATTAGCAGCGGAAAACAATGACGCATTAAGTTCCTTAGAAAAATCAAAATCTAGAAAATCAGGCAAAATTGTTAGAAAAAAATATTCACCACAATTAAGAGCTTTTGCACTCACCATAAATTACTCAGCTAGGCTTATAATTATGTACGCAAAACATTTAATACTTCTTTACCTTCTGTAAAACACTAGGAAAGTTTGTAGTTTTAACACAATCTTAAGCTTAATTATAAATAATAATTATAATAAAATTATTATTACTTTTATTATATACTAGCTGTGCCCCGCGGTTTCACCCGCGTTTTTCTCGTTTCCGTGGAAATACCGAGATAAAATATTGCCTATATTATAGCCTCCCTCAATAAATGGACTATTGAATATTTAAACAGTTTTCATATCAGATCAGTATTTCCCGAGATTACCGCGTTCATAACAAACAACCAAACTTTTCAGCTTTATAATATTAAGAAAAATATAGATTAAGTTAAATTGTATAAGTCGCAGGCAATAGCTGTCTGTCTGTTCGACATTCAGCCAGACACATAAGAATTACGACTACAGGCGGGAGTGTCCGTCTACTTTAAACCGGGTTAAAATATTATTTTAAAGTACTTCTGAGTAAATTATATTTTTCGTTTTATTTTCTTGTGGCAGAAGAATATATTGATTGTTTCCGCAACCTGATCTTGACAACGCGACATATAGTTGGCCGTGCGAAAAACAGTCTTGCCGTAAATCTAATCCTACATATTTAAATGTTTGCCCCTGTGATTTATTTATCGTTACGGCAAAAGATAATTTAATTGGGAATTGGACTCTTTTAAAATGAAAAGGCAAATCATTTGGAATCATTGGGATCCGAGGTATAAGTACTGTTTGACCAACCGCTGGACCAGTCAAAACTGTTGCAACGATCACGTTATTGCGAAGAAATTTAACCTGAAGTCGAGTCCCGTTACATAAATTTGGTGGCTTAAGATTTCTAAGTAAAATAATTGGGGCACCAATTTTTAACTTGAGAGAATGTGGGGGGAGGCCACTCGGGTTTAAAGAATTAAGAAATTCCTGTGGATAATGGACTGCATCTTCTTGATCCATTACATTATCAATAGAAGTGTAGGTGACTATATCCCCTGGAAGTTTAGTTAAAATGAAATCGTTAATTTCGTCAACACTACTGTTTCTCGCCGCCAATATTGCTCGTTGACACATCCATTGATAATCTTTATTTTCTATTTCGACGATATCTGGGTAAACTTTTGATATTAAACTCTCAATGCTAGTCACTTTTTCTCCTAAATCTTGATCAATAGGTATTTTATTTTCAAAATGAGGTACTTTTCCGTCTCCAATTAAAAGTAACTTCAAAGGAAAATTTGTACTACCTCCCCCCAAATGTGCTCTCATGTTCGTAGATAGATTTAAGGTATGAACAAATTTCCATAATGGAGAACTTTTGAGGCAAGATTTTACAATGTCTGCTCTAGTTCCTCTTACTACTACTGGTAAAGTTTGCCGAAAATCCCCAGCAAACATGACAGTAATCCCACCCATGATTTTATCACAGCTTCTAATATCTCTAAGAGTCCTATCTAGAGCCTCTACGTGAGCTCTATGAATCATGGTACATTCATCCCAGATTATTAAAGAGACGTCTTGCAAAACTTTTCCTAAAGGGCCATTTTTACGAATAGAGCACACGCTATCTTTCTGTAACGAAACGGTTAGGGGCAGTTTAAAAGTGGAATGAGCTGTGCGTCCACCAGCTAATAAAGTTGCAGCGATTCCTGATGACGCTACTGCCAAAGCTAGTTTTCCCTGAGACCTTACTTTGGCTAATATCAAATTAGTAATGAAAGTTTTGCCGGTTCCGCCTGGAGCATCCAAAAAAAATATTTTTCCCTCATTGAAACGAACACTGTGCATAACACTATTGTATGCCATCACCTGGTCATTAACTAACTTAGGTTCATTTACAGTAATATACTCATTTAATTCATTTACATCGTATGGCTTCCGCAATGCTATTTCTAAAGGATCCAAATTATGGTGTGTGTTATTCCTTTTTGTTGAAGGAAGCCCAAAATCAGTTAATGATTTATCACAAATCTCATGAATCTTATCTTCAATTATGATAAGTCCATCATTGTATATGTCATCACTATATGCTAATGTCATATCCTGGGTCTCATTACGCATTCTGTATAATATATCTTGACACAAATCTTCCCGAAATTTGTTCCATAGCTGCAAGGGATCAGATGGTTGGCAAAATATGAGGATTATGGTAAATAATTCTCTTAATTTTGGAGCCGGCTCGGACATGACAGCATCTGACATAGTATTTTGCCAATGTTCATCTCCCTCCAGTAAACCTAATTTCTTGCAAGCTCCTTGATAAGTATTGAAAATAACACCATTTACTGTCCTTAGATGTTCAAATGACATTGGACCGCGAACATGATGCAGTAACATTCTTAAATAGTAACATTCAGTTTGTGTCGGATGAATGTTGTAGACACGACCTAAAGTTGAGTCTTTTTTTATACCGGGATATCCTTCAACATCTTGTCCACGTCTTCTTCTAGAAAATGAATTTCTTTCCCATACGTAATACTGGGGTACTTCGTGATATAAAAGGGTTTTGGCAAAATCGTCTCTTTTGCAAAGATCAAAGAACGCTGTAAGTGTCGTTGATGAAGGATTGTTGACGCGATCTTGAAGATTTTCATTATTATAAAAATAAACTCTTTGTCCATTTTCTAAATGAACTGCTAAATGAACTATTGCCGGAAAACGTTCATGAATCGGAAATTGGAAAATTCTCCAGAGTGCTTCCGAGGAACTTATATAGCGACCATTTAAATATTTTTCTACTTCATCGTTATTATTTTGTAACGAAAATGTGGCTTGATCAGAACCTTTATGGATATATTTACAGATGTACTTAATGGCTTTGACCGATTGGCAAAACTCTACGTTAATGTGTGCATTGAAACTTCGTGATAGCACAGGGTTATAGGGTACAACCCACCTATTATCCACTCTCATTTCTGTACCTTTGACACGAATTATTGCGGTGTTTCCACCATTATCTGGTGAACGGCGCTTGTAGGTTGGGTAACCGTCATCCCCGGTTTGTGTTTCAGAAATAAACTGCCTGGGGTATTTTTTAGAGCAAACGTTTTCTTTCATACATGGTGACGCAGGATTGTGAAATCCGCAAGGCCCATGTATCATATTTTTTATGACAATGTTATAAAGCATTGGGTCTTGTTGTTTGTCAGGTATTTCAGCCGATATTATTGCATCTATGGAATCCGGTTGCACTTTGTTAGCCAGCCACAACAAAATGTGAGCGTGAGGTAAACCTCTTTTTTGCCATTCTACACTATAAACGAAGGCTTTCGATGGTCCAAATATATTTTTCTTCGTTAATAGGTCTATCATTTTTTTTAGTTTTAAATGAAATACTCTAGAAATCAAATCATGTCTGTCGTAAGAATTTTGATCGGGTAGTAACTCAATTTTTATTTCTGGCCATTCGGAGTTACATGTGAATGTTATAAAGAGATCTGGTCTTCCAAATTTCCTAACATAGATCATGGCATCTTGACTTTTTTCATTCATGTATCTAGGAGATCCTGTAAATGACGATGGCAATATAACGTGCTGGCCAACATTAGAAGCGTCTACATTGCCATCATTAACCACGGCATCTCTTAAATGAATGTACTCTTCTGCTCTTAATTTTTTTTGATTTCTTTTTATGAAGTCAAGCCTCTCAGAAATCATTTTTGCCGCCATATCAACACAGTATTGATTAAATAATCCTTTGAAATAATGTATGCTGTTAAAGTCATTTATTCTCACCATGAGCCTAAATGCATAAAACTGCATACATGATATAGTTTTAGATCTAGCAGTAGTATTTTGCTGTGGAATATTTATACAATATCCGTCATTTCCAAAGGGAAACAGTAAAGGATATTGAAGTGGGTCATAAGATCTATGTATTTCAGAAACTCGCTGAAGGCGCCCGTCTCTGGTATTTAACACTATATCTCGGGGACCTTTGTCTTCATCTATTAAAAGAACAGCTACTTCATCTACCATGGGCGCGTTATATCGACCTCGATGTTCATTAGGAGGTTTCACATCAGCATGAATGATAAGTTTAAAATCATTCGTTGGTCTGTTTTCGAGATTATATTTAAAACTTTGAATATAAGTATTGTGATCGTGAAGATATGTTTGGAGAGCGTCGATAAGATCGGTTTTTAACGTTGGGTTTAAATTTGAGCGTAAAGATACCTGATCTGTATGGGAAATAAAATATATTTGCAAAAATTCGGGTTGTGCGCCTTCAGGTGGAAGTAAATTACCGATTAGATGGTAAACTTGCCCCTGGACTTTAAAAGTGGGCATAAATTTTCCTTCACGAATTTCTTTGGCACCAAATGAAGTCATCTGAAACAGAGTATTATATTGTCTAGAGTGATTTAAGAAATGCTTAGAAGATGGATGTGAGCCTGATATTAGATCTTTAAGAATTGACGTTGGTGCTGGAATTTTAGGAATATTTACTTTGCCACCACTACAACACAGTCCAGGAGCTTCAGCCGGCCATTTTTTTGCTTGACATGAATTACATATTTTATTCATTCTGCAAATATTAGTACCATTTAGCTCAGCATAGTCAAGGGTATAATCATAAGCAAATGCTGAATTCAATAAATTATATTGCCTGCGAGTTCTGTTCCCTGCTGTTCGTGCATTTTGCTGTGCTAATCGATGGGAACGTTCAGCATTTGATTCCCGTTCCCGGTTTGCCAAAGTGCGGGAATTCTGTTTAGCTAAACGTTGAAAACGTTCAGCGCTTGATTCCCGCTCGCGATTTGCCGAAGTTCGGGAATTTTGTGCGGCTAAACGTTGAGAACGTTCAGCACTTGATTCCCGTTGTCGATTCGCCGAAGTACGGATATTTTGTGAGACTAACCGCTGCGAACGTTCAACACTCGATTCCCTAAAACGGTTTTGTTCACTGATCGCTCGTTGAGTAGCCAACCTGTGCAGATTTTCTTCGGGTGTTTCATTGCTGCGTAGAAGTCGCAATCGCTTTGCAGTAGCAGTCTGCCTAGAAAGCTGAGTTCTTTTTCTAGGCATAATAGTAAAGAGATAAAAGAAAAACCGTATAAAATTAAAACTTAATTAAAATAAACTGAAACGTAGTAATCAGGTAAAAGAAACGTAAGGTGAGTAATTATTAAAAGTCGCATGAAATATATGTCAAAGGAACGATCGTAAATGACTTCAAAAAACGCAACGCTGCATTCAACCGTTCCGTAGGGAGCCGACCACGCGTCTGAGCCGCGCGGCATGGTACCTTGTAAACCAAAACACGCGGGCGGCGCGGCGGGGGGGGGGGGAGAGCGACAGGCGGCCAGCAAGCGCGGCCTCCTCGTCTCGCCCGCCGCCGCGCCGCCGTCGTCTTGCTTACATCAAGCGCGCGTGGATTTCCTTAGCAGAGTTATTTTAGAAATGTATTTATTATACTCTTCAAAGATCTTACTTACTATATTTCGAAAAAGATTGTTACAGGATTTTTATGTTGATAAAAAACTCTATGGTCCATAACTCATTAATAGGTACCAACTCTTAACATTTTACACACGTGATAACTTTTAAATGAAATATCCGATTGAGATGAAACAAAAAGTATTTTACTTCTATATAAATACTCTTGATAACATAATGCTTAATTTCGATAAAGATTAATATTACGATACATATTTCACGTAGTTTTTTTTCTTCAGACGATTTAATAATTAATTTGAACACAAAATCGGTTATTGTGATTAAACCATGATAGCTAGATACATGTTCTCGCGGACTTTTTTGTAGGTCTTAATGGGATCTACAAACCCATAGTACATCATTTTGTTTTATTGTCAATAGTTTTTGCAGCGCACGCAAAAATAGGTTTTCGATTTTACACCTTGTGTTACAAAATAGCAATTTTATTACGGATCCCTAATTTTGAAAAAAGAAAACATAGCCTATAGCCTTCCTCGATAAATGGACTACCCAACACTGAAAGAATCATTCAAATCGGACCAGTAGTTCCAGAGATTAGCGCGTTTAAGCAAACAAACAAACAAACACTGCAGCTTTATAATATTAGTATAGATATATATATATATAATAAAAGTAATAAATATAAATAAATAAGCAGTTTTGTTAATGATGATATTTTTCATGAAATAAAAAAATCACCAATTCGATCACGAAAGTTGTAATCATGTCATTGATTTAGCTAAGAGTGGTATGGAAAAATACATAGACATACTCGTAAGATTACTCTACTCATCCAAGAAGACAGATCCTAAGAATTCTGTGAGACAATTTTATACTAAGATTATCCATTTTAAAAATCAGTCAAATATATATTTATAAATTAAATGTACAAATCTATGTATACAATGTTTAATTTTTTAATAAACATCAAATAAAAATTGATCAATATATTTATTTATCATTATCTATTATCATCATCAATAATCAATAAATCCCAAATTTATCGATCAACGTCCCAACCCTGTTCCATCACTATGGTTTGGTACATTCTAAGTTTAACCTTTAAATATCCAATCACAGCGCATTTGCCACGTCCCCCGCAACTCTTGCATAGGGCCAAATTTGGTGAACTCGAAACAGAACAAATATTCAATGATGCGGTATCTATTAGGAGGTAATCTATGAATTCAATCAAGAAAAGTTTCTGACGAATAAGCACAGTCACACACTGATAAACGATTTTGTAAGTTGTACCTATTATTTATTTTGTGGTTGTACTAACTTAAGTGGTCAAGTCAACATCAACAAGTTCTAGGGACTTTTTGTTATTAATCAATGGAAAAGAAACTGCAAAGAATTTTCAATGGTCACTCTTACGCCACGCTATATACATATATTCTCTTATCAAGTCGCGTCGCATGCTTTTTATTCATATCAAATCGTTTTCTCCTTCATGATAAGGTTTATCATATGTCGTATCACGCCTTTACGCGGTTGAGTCCGGTATAAATTATGTATACCAGTAATTGTGATTCAGTTCAAATTAGACATTAAAGTAATATGAGTGCTTTGAGTTATTTTGAACAGTTTTCAGTTATGACTCCCTGAATCATAGGAAAGGGGGGCCCAAAAAAGGCATCCTAAACTGCGAGATTGTTGCAGACAGCATTAAAGTTTGAATGAAGTCCCCGTATGTTGCAGAAATCCACAGAGAGCGTGGGATGAGGTGCCGTAGTGATTTTGCTCCGATTGCTTATATGTGTAGCCCAAAAGGAAGCTAGTTTGGGCGTGGATGCCCAAGGAGGGATTCTTCAGGATTATCGATGCTGGCACCCTCCTGGGGTAGATTTTTATTTAACACTGCTTTCATGTTTTTTCCATTCCATTATAAATTATAACATAGTTTATTTGCAAAATACCTAGTTATCATTTATAATAAAAAGCCGCCAGAGGGGCGCTGATGCAGTACTGGCCTAGGGCGCTGTCGACATTTAATACGCCTCTGAATATGAATGAAACGGAAGTTTTAGACATCTTTCAACAAGCCACCACGAGCCCTGACAAAAGTTGGAAAATGGCACGTTAGTCTAAGAGCAAGCAGTGATAGAGGATGAATACAAGAGGAAAATACTATAGACATCACACAACAGACTACCTTATTTAAAAAGGCTAAATCTGCAATTAGTTCATTTATGCGAGTCAGTATCACTTAGCCCGATACGCGCCTTTGTTAAGGCCGCTCCTACTGTAGGGTTAGGTGTTGTGAGAAAACAAATTGAATCCTTTGATATTAGTTGGTAGAAGAATACATCGAGGTGTTATGCAGTGTATTAGTAGTTTGCTGATAATAAGAATATTATTGTTCTACTTATGCTGAACGATTTTTAATGTCAATACATTATACGTGAAAAAATCGAAAACTGAAGGTGTGGTCGGGTCGCTAATCAAATAATAAATCTGTAATTATGGCGTCAGAAACCAGATACCTAATAAATATTAATATCTTACCTTTCGATATCCTTAGGAGCAGTAAAGAATGAAAAGTCGACATTCCTATTGTTATTTAAGCACCCGTATGCTATGCAGTACCTTTTGGCTTTTTGAGTGACCGGCCATACCTGAATAAAAACTCAAAAATAAATATCTAAAGTGCCTAAATACTTATAAAGAGAAAAATACTATTTTGTTAACGTAAGGCGCGCGTCATCTCGAGCGCGCGCGTGTTACCTCATTGAATTAACCTCTTGTAGGTGGCCGCGCAGCGTAAGTATATTTTCATGCCTAAAGCGCGTAGACAGGCCTGGCTTTAGGCAGACCTGTCTCCGCGAATCCCTTCTTGGGCATCCACGCTTAAACTAGCTTCCTTCTAGTTTTGACCATCGGCACTTTGATAGTGCGCGGCGTCTTGTTATCGGCGTCATCAAAGGTCGGATACTGACCTGTCAAAGAAATTGTGCAGCTATTCGAAAGTACAAGGTCAAGATACACGTGCCGGCGGCTACTATTGATATCGCATAATCGTCGCCGCCGCGCCACACGCAATGCATTTGACACTGTTTGATTGCCGCCACAGAGTACATTTTTCAAAGAATAAAATAAGTTTCCAGGTGCTCAGAATGGACACGAATACATTATCCTGATCTCGCAAGAAATATTGTAATTAGATAATAGGTAGGTATCATAATAATTTATTCTAGTAAGTAATTATTATAAAATTAACTATATGGATTTAAAATAATTACTTACTATTATTAAGTGGCGAAGCTTGCGAAGTCACTTATTGATTTCACGATGTCTGTCCGTCTGTCCCACGATTATCTCGAGAACGGTTACGAATTTTCAAATTCTGTTTTCAGCAATCGATTGCTGATCACCCAGGCATCTGAACCTCCCATTTTGAAACTGATTGCTCAACGGCAACCGTTAGAAACCGCTACAATTTCAAATTCTCAACAGACTGACACAGGGCATGTAGCATATCAACCGACAGGTCTTTAGAAAGATAAATGATTGTTGAACTTATTAAAAATTTTAAATCGATTAATTGCTATTTTTAAATAAAAAAAGGGTTTTAGTGGCTTATGCGATTACTCTCTCTCTCTCTCTTCCTGGCTATGTGTCCCACATGGTGGTGGGGTCAGCCTTTCTTGTCTTACGCCTCCACTTCGCTCTATCCTCGACTTCATTTTCGGAGACTTCGCACTCTCTCATGTCCTTTACCACTACATCTTTCCATCGTGTTTTGGGTCTGCCCCTGGATCTTCGACCTGGGATGGAGAGTTGTAGTGCCAAGTTCCCTACGTAGTCGGGTGGCCTCCTCTTCACGTGCCCATACCATCGCAGCCTACTTTCCTGCATCTTGTCAGCGATGTCGCGCACGCCCAAGCTTCCTCGCACGTACTCGTTGCGGATTTTGTCGCGCTTGGTAACGCCGCACATCCACCTCAGCATCTTCATCTCAACAACTTGCATGGTATGCACATTCATTTGAGTTACGGCCCATGTTTCACTGCCATACAATAGGACTTATGCGATTACGTAAACTTTAAACTTGAAATCTGAAATTTGAAATTTTAAACTTTAAACTT